TTATATAAATAGTATAAATACATTATTAAATATAATAAATATACAGGATGTCTCGTTTTAAATAAAATAGTCAATTGTTCCGAAATTATTGATCATACAAGAAAATATTTTAGATAAAAATAGAACGATTTTGAAGAAAATTTATTTTGGTCAAGTTGGAATTTTTCTAGGTGGAGATGCTAAAATGAAGGTTACTTTTAATTTATATTTTTATATTTTCTAGAATTTTTTTTTCATTTTTTGGAATTATATAATTTTTTTTACATAATATGATTCCTCTAATTCTGCACATAAACGTAATTAAGTTAAAGTTAGAAAAATCAATACTTTATGAGATATTTATATTTAGTTTATTATGTTATACTTTGACATAAAATATAAAATATCTTGTGAATTGTTGATTTTTTTATAATTATATCTTATTACTTTTATGCAGAGATTAATGAGATGAATTGATTAGTGTAAAGAAAATACATTGTTTCTTTAAAAAAAAAATGAAATTTTATCTTTTTTTTCTTTTATTTTAAACATTTTTGTTGTATCTTCAATAATTTTGCTGATAATTGGCTGTTTTAATTAAAATAATCTTGTATTTAAAAATAGATATACATATTACATATAAGTATATAATTAATTATTAATGAATGAGACAGAGAATATTGATAGTTCTTGAATGTATTTATTTAAAGTTATAACAGAGAAATTCCCTTTTCTGTTTTATGAACATAAATAGAAATAGCACCATAGTTAAACATAAGAAAGAATATTAAGCGATATTATTATTCAAGTATCATCATTCTGTCATATTTGATGGATATGATCCAGAATAAAGAAATCTGTTATCTATCTTCTCCCAGTTAGGGCCAGCGTTTTCCAGTCATATCAACTCCACATAATCCTAAGAAATTACAACCCAAACGTTCACAGCAATCATCATGGGTGGAACACTAAAATATTTAAAATGTAATATATGTATATAGTTGTGTTAATCGATATTAAAAATTAATATTAATTTTTGGATACTTATTGCGGATGCATCGATATAGATGTAAAACATTTTCTTGTGGTCTTAATAAGTTTATATAGATTATGCACAGAACAATGCATGAATTATAAATTTTTTAACTCTAATATCATTTCCTTCGTATGTCTTTTAAATAAAATGATTTTTTCATAAAATATATATTGTATAAATACTTACGGTCCCCATCCATTTAGTACATCCTTCTCCAGAAGTAACCATAGTCATAGCAATTATAACGAAAATAGCAAAGATAACGAACTTCATTTTGTCAATATTTTCTGTAATTATTATTTTTATAATATATCTACAATTCGACATGCGCTTTTGAAATAATATGATAATAATGCTTCTATAAAAATTGCCATTTTTACTTCAATTTATCTTTTAAATGATGAAACTAATAAAACAAGAAACATTTTATTATTAATACACTGCTCAAAATAATTATGGCATAGAAAAATTTTAGGTAAAAATCGACCAACTTTGGCTGACAATAACTTTGCAAAAAAAATATCGTAGTAGTGATAAACTTTTTTTTAAATTAAAGCTTGAAATTTCTACTTTAGAATACTATGGTTTGATTTTAAATTTAATGCACTCCTGTTACTGTAAAATCTTAAATTTGAGAGCATGTTTGCCATACTGAAAATTGCAAAGTTTGACGAAATGCACATACTCGCTAAAATTTCTCTCGGGGATGCCGTTTGCAGCGTCATAAAGTTCGAACCTTTCTCTTTATTTAAAAATAATAAATGCAAGTCGCTACGATTTTTTCTTCACGAAGTTGCAGCATTTTAAAGTAATCCTTATATTTTTCTCATGTATGGCCGGCATTACCTGATACCAGTGCACCATAAGGAGGCAATCGGATTTTACACATTATTTGCGTGCACGTATGTGTAATACACACACACACGATGTGCAAAATCTTATCGCCAACCTCTTTATGGTGCACGTTGGGTAATGCTGACCGTACATAAGAAAAATACAAGGATTACTTTAAAATGCTGTAACTTTGTGGAAAAAAAATCGTAGCGACTTTCTTTTTTTCAAATTAAAGAGAAAGATTTGAGATTTATGACGCTGCAAACGGCATTCTCGAGAAAAATTTTAGCAAGTCCGCACGTTCCGTCAAACTTTGCAATTTTCTCATGTATGGTCAGCATTACCCGATGTGCACCATAGGAAGGTTGGCGATTGAATTCTGCATATCGTATATTTTGCATAGTACCTTAAAGTAGAGATTCAAGCTTTAATTTAAAAAAAAGTTCAGCATCCTACGATGCTCGCGGAGTTGTCGACAGTCAAAGTTTGCCAATTTTTGCTCAAAATTTCTCTATGCCATAATTTTTTTGAGCAATGTATAATATCAATGTATAGTTTTATATATATAGTTTATTATCTATTAATTTTTGGAGTCTCAACTTTTATTTTAAAAAATTAGACTATGTTAGAACTTACCGTTCTTATTGGGAAGTAAAATCGGTTATGCGGGTTATACAACGAATCGCAACTGATCAATTCTTCGATTTTTAAAGAGTATTTATATGTTACTTTATATCTCACTTGTGCAATAAAAAATTCCAGAAATATATGTAATTGCTTACATTATCTACTAAATGTAAGGAAACATTGCTTAGGCAGATAACTTTATTTCCATACGTGAAAATGGTAACGTTTTATTTGTCACGGAAAACAATAAAACAATATTTCCGCATGTGGAAATGATATCGTTTCGTTACGGAAAACAATAAAACAATATTCGATCGATATATGTGAATATATATGTAAATAGTTTTATAACAAAATTAAGTGTTGAGTTCTGATTTTAATGTATACGCATAAACGCTATCATTTCCACATGCGAATTAATGTTATACATAAAATGCAAAACATTTTTTGATATCTATTTTGAATAGTTTTTGAAATAAGAACTGAAAACTGCTACATATAAAAGGTGATTTCATTCCTTCAAACCATTTTTTAGCACCAACTAATATTTTATTTACGTAACCTATAACTGTACAAATTTTCATTAAAATCAGAATTTAACACTTCGCGAGGTTTCCTTGTTACATTTTAGACTCTTAATTTTTAATTAGTTACATTTTATCGATAACTATTAACTTTTGATCTAACCTTCTTGAATTTACATTTTTAGTGCTTTTTGTAAACCCAAAATAAAATGCATATCTGCGTTGGTATCTTTAAATTTAAATTTGAGAACATACATTAAGAAAATTATTATAAACATAATAAATATAGTTTGACCACGGGAAGGAATCACTGTTCGTGTATCTTTTATGCATTAAATCATGTTGAAAGTCCTTCAAAATCGGTCCTCTTTTCGCGGCTTGACAGAAATAAATATAACAAATATACACTTTATTTAGAAATCCTAAAATTATAAAATTTAAAAATTTAACTTTTAATTTTTTAATTACTTTTTTTATTAACTGAATTTTTAATTTAACTAATTTTATTATCGACTAACTTGTATCTTAACTTAAAGTTAAATTTTTAAGGCTGTTAACTTTAATTAAACTCAGTTTTTAAAAAATATTAACTTACCCATTCCTACTGAATCCTAATCTGAGGTCAAAATTTATAAATTAACAATACATAGGAGGAGTTCCCCTAATGCCGGACGCTTAAGAATTTTCTTAAATAAATAAAAAATAATAATACTTCATTCTTTTTATTCTGCGTTATTTATAAGTTAACAATATTAGAAATCAAAATAAAGCAACAAAATAATCAATATTATCATTGTAATTAACTTAAATTAACGTTAAATTTTAGTATACGATTTTGAAAGATTATTAAGTATGTAGTACCGGACACAGTAACTTATTAACGTAACTCAGAGAACAGTTTCAATATAATTTGCAGCGTCACAAATATAATTGTCAGAACATTCGGGGATATCGGCACTAGCGTCATGTGTCCATTTTCAGCAGCAAGTGCTTCTTGCCAATATTTTTTGAAGTGCAGTTCTTTAAATTATTTTCTTTCCACGAATCTTTTTTTTACTATTCATATTGCTTAGGTGCAACTTTTAACCACTGAAACCAAAATAATGAATACTAATACAAAGATCGGAAGAG